GAAGAGGACAACAAACGAGGGGCTGTGACAAACTGTTTCGTCGGAGTTTCACCGACTCATCAGGAGGCTGAATAACTCCGACGAAACAGTTTGTCACAGCCCCTCGTTTGTTGTCCTCTTCTCTCTCTCTGCCTACTGTTTACCGGGCAGTTCTGTTTGTGACGAGATATATATATATATATCGTCACATGAATATATATATATATATACCTGATGAGAACAGAAGGGCTCCTGGCAGCACTGGGTACTGTAAAGGTCTCCCAGTGTGGGACTCTCCGGCGTTAACCCTGAGGTGTGGCGAGTTGGTACCTGCGCTCTTCAGCTGAAATGCCAACTGCCCTACCCTGAACGTGTACAGCTTACTTCAGGCATTCCTCCAATACAACACATCCCCACCCGACCCTAAAGCTAGGTTGTATACATTCACGACTTTCCTTGCTTTGGCACAACATTCGCGAAATCATGACCGAAACCCATTTTCAAACTGAAACCGTGACTGTGCCCTAGTTTTCCCTTCTCTTTTTTTTTTTTTTTGGGTGGGGAGGGGAGGGGAGGGGAGCTTCATAAGTGGGAAAGCCACTTAAGGAGGTGATAAGAGCAGCCTCATTACGTAGGAGATCGTCTATCCCTCTCCCACCCGGCGCCAGACTGTTGTTGTTGTTGTTGTCTGTTGTTGTTGTTGTTGTTGTTGTTGTTGTCTGTTGTTGTTGTTGTTGTTGTTGTTGTTGTTGCTCTTGTTGTTGTTGTTGTTGTTGTTGTTGTTGTTGTTGTTGTTGTTGTTGTTGTTGCTGGGCCGACGGGGGGGTCTCAAGTCTGGTACATTTCTATTAATATTTTTCTTTGGTGGGGCCTTTCTGTGCCCACGGAAAGCATCCAAGTCTCGGACGTGGGTCGTGGGAAAGGGGAAGAAAAGGGGAAAGAACTTCAAAACGGGGTTCGATTTCAAAACTTTGTTTGAAGGAGTCTAAGGGAGGGTGCCTTTGTTTGATTTTCTTTTCCTTTTTTTTCCATCTTCAATCAGTAAAGACTTCTGGGGCGACCCTCAGCTGGATTTTGTGTTTTGTTTTGGATTGGATAGGGCATACGGTGAGTTGGGTTTCGTGTCTCTGTTGATTTGGAATTACCATGGTCTGGACTCTGCTTGGCCGAAGTGCCTTGCTCAGCTCAAGAACTGCGGCACCTTTGTGAGGGATGCTGGGCCCAGTTCCCAGCATATAATAAAATTTCTTGGTTTAAAAAAAAAAAAAAGGTTTTTGCATTGCAATTGTACACCATATATTTATTTCCGAGACTTTTCTTGGGTCTCTTTGTGTTTTTTATTTTGCTGTGGGGCCAGTGTTGCACAACCCGACGGTCGGCGGCCCTTGACTGGTCGGCAGTCTTTGGTCTGACTCGGGTAGGCGGAATGGCGTGGGGGCAGTGTTGCACACCCCGACGGTCGGCGGTCTTTGGACCGTCTCGGGTAGGCGGCCCTTGACCGGTCGGGGGGTCGGCAGCCGACCAGTCAAGGGCCCGGGATTGAAAAAAAATCAGTGGATGGTTGTTTTCTGACTGGTCAGCAGGCCGCAGATGGAGGGTTGTTTTCTGACTCCAACTCAGCAAGTGCAGTACAGCCCCCAACTCAGATTTGAAAAAAAATCAGTGGATGGTTGTTTTCTGACTGGTCAGCTGCAATACGGTCGGTGGTAAGGGTTGGCAGTTGGCAGGCATGCAACCCTGGGTGGGGGCGAGGGGGTCGGAGTTCAAACCAAGGGATCAGAGTTGAAACCAAGGGTTTAGAGCTGAAGCCAAGGGGCCCCAAACCAAGGCGTCAGCCAATGAACAATGTGGTCAGAAGTCAAACCAAGGGGTCAAGAGTTAAAAACCAAAAGTTTAGAGTCGAAGCCAGGGGTCAGAGTCCAAGTGAAGGGGTCAGAGCGCAAGTGACCGGGTCAGAGTTCAAACCAAGGGGTCGAGAGTCAAAACCAAGGGGTCAGAGATTAAACCAAGGAATCAGAGTTCAAACCAACGGGTCGAGAGTCAAAACCAAGGGGTCAGAGTTTAAACCAAGGGGTCAGAGTTAGAACCAAGCGGTCAGAGTTAGAACCAAGGGGTCAGACTTAGAACCAAGGGGTCAGAGTTAGAACCAAGGGATCAGACATAGGACCATGGGGTCAATGTTGTATCAATAGGTGCTCCTTCGTAGATCAGTCTGAATGCTGTTTTAACAGGAGAACCATTTTTGTATTTGATAAGGCCCTTTCACCCCTGGGGCGCGTCGCAGGGTTTTCATTGCTGTAATGATGTTTTCCTTTCTTTATTTGGGGGTTGGTGAAGAATTACTTCAGTCCCCTCCTCTTTGTCATCCATATGGATATTCTGAGCCTTTCGTGCCTTTTTGTTTAATACTCTTTCTTTTCTGGGATAATTTGCAAAATACCCCCATAAGTTGAGATATGTGCCAAAATGCACCTGAAAGATGTGGGTAGAGCAGAATGCCCCTCTGACAAAAATAAAAATTTGTGAAATACCCCTCGCGCCGGTTGGACCCCCAATCTTTATGATATACCCCTACGGGGTACCATCCAACTTTGCAAAATACCCAGAACTCAGCAACTTTCCTAAGGCCCAGTTGCAAATGGCCATGCCCAAACGGCGAGGTTGAGATCGCAAATTTGCACACCTGCCTGACAGGGGCATAACACAGATTTTGGCCCAAAAGGGCATTCCGCTCTATCCACATCTTTCAGGGGCATTTTGGCATATATTTCAACTTACGGGGGTATTTCGCAAATTATCCCTTTCAATTGCGAAATACCCCCGTAAGTTGAAATATATGCCAAAATGCCCTGTAAGATGTGGGCAGAGCGGAATGCCCTTTGGGGCCGAAATCTTTGTGTTGTGCCCCTGTCAGGCGGGTGTGCAACTTTGCAATCTGGACCTCCCTGATTGGGCCTTGGCCTTCTGCAATAACGCCTAGGGGAAGTTGGCAAGTACCCAGTAGGGGCATTTTGCAAAGTTGGATGGTACCTGGTAGGGGCATATTGCAAAAATGGGGGTCCAACCGACGCCAGGGGTATTTCGCAAGATATTTTTTTGTCAGAGGGGCAT